ATTATAAACACAAGTATAAATAAACGCCAAAGCACACTCAAACACAAGATATGATCACGGAGTTCGGACCTTCCGTCCTACGTCTCCGCTCCCCACTCCCGGGGAGAAATCCACTATCACAACCGGGTTTTCTACGTTCACCCGAATAACGTTTACACCTCACAGTGTCGGTTTTCAACGCTCACCGAACAACGTTCACTCCTCACACTCGGTTTTCTAGTTCACCGAAAACTTCACAACACACTCGGTTTTCTAGCTCACCGAAAACCTTACAGCACTCACAATGTAACAAATATAAATTTGTTCTCTACAATAGATGAGAACACAATGAAAGCACAACTCAAGGTTACAATCTCTCACCACCCAACTATACTATGTATGAAAGATACAATAAGCTCAATGTGGGTGTGTGTAACAATGAGATAATATAATCAAATCTAAACTCAATATAAAAACTAGCTTTAAAGAAAGATAATCAAATAACTAAGCAAATGTAAAGCTAGATAGAGTTTAGAAAACTTCTCCAATAGATGACAAGATGGAGAGATGGAGATTGGAGCCCAAACAAGAAGATGATCTCCTCCACTTGTGAAAACAATCTTCAAACCAAACAAACACTAAAACACACTTAAACCCTTGTTTAAAACTCTTTAAACTTGTTTAAAACATTTCTTGAGTACCCTTAGAAGTATGAGGGCATGGAGTATATATAGGCTCATGAAACAAGCCCAAAAACCCAAGAAAACCAAGCAAAAAGACAAAAAAATGGATATATCAAAATCTGGAAAATATAGCCGTTATGCTACAGTAACCGCGTCCAGAGACATGTCCGGTCGACCGGAGTTACTGTAGCAGTGCACAGCTGTTTTATAAAATCAATTTAAAATAGTAAATGAACTCAACTCATTATTTTGTAAAAACATGCATGAATATGAATTTGTTAAGAACTTGTTTTTGACAAAAAAAGTTTAAACGCATATTGAAACTTTATGAAATATCTTCATAAACATTATAACACATGAATATAAAGTAAACATGGTTAATAAAACAATATCACAAAGTTTTCTCAAAATAGCTCATTTTGTGAGAAAATCCAATATTGTGTGTGTATATGATATTGAGCTTAGAGTATTAAACACACATAATATAAACCTATACTAAATTTACCCAAGTTTGATCTTGATATTCATTGTAGCTCAACTTGGTACACGTGCGGATGAAGCTTGAACTTGATCTTTAACTTTGAATTGTAAGGCTTCAACCCGACATTCCGCCAACCTCCATTTGATATGATCCTTATGGCGCAATCCATCCAACCTCCAATTCGTTGTTTGTCTATAATAAATAGAAATATACCAACACTAGACAAACAACATTAGTGGTAAATTGTTTGTTAAACATCATCAAAACAAAGAGGCCAACAGAATGCACATTGGTTCTTTGCTAATTGGTGGCGGCCTCTAGACTTTGACCTTCCACTATTACCACCTTTCGGATATGGGCTTCTACCTCTCGTCGACAAGGCCTCTCCTAAAGTACTAGCGCGGGAAGTCTCTTTATCCTTCCTCCTCAAATCGTAATTTGTCAACGCGTTAGTTACTTCACTATAACTGATAGAAGATCTCTCATTTAACAAAGTGAGCACGAATGTATCATACTCCTCATCCGGTAAGGAGCCCAACAAAATAATCGCCTTGTACTCATCCGATATCTTCTCATCAACATTCGCCAAGTCCGACAACAACTTAGTGTAGTTGTTCACATGAGTCGCTAGCGAGGTGCCTCTGGACATCTGAAATCTCAAGAGTCTTCGTAGCAAGTGCAACCTGTTCTCAACACTCTTCGTGAGATACTTGTTGTTGAGAATTTCTCACATCTTCATTGCAGACGTCACCCCAATCACATCATATTTCAGCTCCTGTTCCAAACAGGACCTGATCACCCCACAAGCGTTCCTATTCATCTTCTCCCATACCGCCTCTTCATATTTAGGTGGCCTCTCGTGGACCATGATGGTCTCTTCCAAATTCTGAGCATTAAGCGCATCCTGTACGTCGCTCATCCACAAACCAAAGTTGATTTTGCCATCATACTTCACCATACTAATCTTAGTGTTCTGAAAACCAACTTGTATTGTACTCGCCATCAATTTGCTGCTTTCACCTTTTTCTCCCATTGCAAACTAACTCCAAATTGTAGAGAAAGGACAAATTTGATAAAAATTAGGAACCACCCAACTGAACCCTAGATCGGATTCCAAATAGATCTCTTATCCACACGAGAAAAGCGAAATCTCCAACGGTAACTCCTAATGCTATCTCCACCGAAGCCTAGAACCCCAAGAACCAAGCTTCACACAAAATCTTCCTCCACCAAACTCCAAAATCCTAGATCTGAAATCTGGACTCTGATACCACTTGTTGCGCGCAGCGAAAATTTCGGCAGAACTTCGGCAGCACAACAAGAGAGTCAGGTCGCAATAAGAATTCTTGTTTCTCAAAGGGAATAAGAATCTGAAGCCTAATATCCCATCAAAGTGAGATATTAGCTCTTCCTCTCGTCAGCTCTAGGACTGCGCGTCGAGGGAACCTAAAAAGCTATTACAAATCACACAAAAGCAGTACAACCAAATTTTACGTGGTTCGGCAATTTGCCTACGTCTACGGGGTAAGGAGGGGGGAGATCTACTATTAGAGGGAGAGATTACAACTAGGGTTTATAATCACTCACAAACTAAACCCTCAAACAAACTCTCAAATCCCTCATACAAATAAACTCTCACAAAAGGATGCACAAAACCCTATAAAATAGCCTCTGCCTTTTCTTTTGCACAGCCACACGAAGAGCCAACCAATTCCTTCCACTGCTCCTTTGCTTTTCCCAGCCGCAAAACACACAAGCCAAAAAAAAAATCAAATCTCCTGCACACAAGCCAAAGCCGCATCCTCCTCTGCCTAATTTTTCACGAAACCCTAGACATCAGGTTTTATACAAGAGATATTCGGGTGGGCTTTGAAGTTCACGCGGTATTAAAGCATTCACATGGGTGGGCGTGGACCACATGTGCCCACGTGCTTCACACTATTTTAAGGTATATTCTTGGCATTTACAGATTTATTGGTTGATTTTTCGAAATTAATTCTATTTGTGTTGTTGCATAGTTTAATTTTTTATGAGCTTTCTTTATTTGTATGATAAGAAACAGAAGGGAAATATGGCTGAAATTTCTTCGAATACTTAAATTTCCAAACCACAATTTATACTTCAAGTTTGGATATTGCATGATTTGGCTGTTGGGGAGTATGGCCAGTTTTTTTTTTTGATAAAAACAAGGGTTAAACCCTGTTCATTAATAAAAAAGAAAACTGAGTACAAAAAAAGTACAAAAGAAGGATACGAACTGTATCCGCATGTTGCAATATAGAAAATAGAATTTCTCCTGGTATTGATGTATAACTTTCTTCTTCCAAAGATCTGTGAAGATGAAGAGAAGGCCTTGCCGTCATTCATCGTTGACACAGATATAAGGAAGAACCAAAGCCAGCTATACATATGCGCAGTAGAAATTAAACTTTCTATAATCAACAACTAAAAAACATCAAAAACTATCCTGTATACAAAAGAGAGAGTTACATATCAACCAAACAAACCAAAACAGATTCAGCGGCTTCACTCACTTGCTCTTGGTAATGGAGAGAGTATGGCCAGTTTGATTCATTAGTTCAATGTTGTGTTGCTCTCTCGGTTGGTCAGCAACTTACTTTAAAAAGGGAACTATATACGCCGCTTTTAATTTATAAGTATCATTGACAGCTTAATAATCTTAGAGTAATTCATATATTCTTTCAATTTTTCCAACACAATGAATGTTGGTATATGTGGGTCTTTTGTCTTTCTATCGTTTCACCTACATTGGATGTCATGAGGGAACTTGAATTTTAATCGTTTTAAGACTTTCCGTGTATGAATCTTTTCTTTCCCTCTTGGTGGATGCTAATGGTGGACTCGGTCTTGTATCATGGCATTAAAAATTTGGCTATAGAATTATGTTTGTTTACATAACCTGAATTAATTGGAACTATGGAACAATATGTTATTTTCGCACTTTTTTTTTGGTGAGATTACCACCCACAACGATTACAAATAAATTTGTCTCTAGTGAGAGGTAAAATTACCA